ATAAAATAAGAGAATAATAAGCGAATGAGTTCATCACTTGCGTAAAAACCTGGCAACTTCTTGGAAAGTTCAGATGACGTTGTCGTAGGTCGTGGAATGTCATACCTGTAGCACCTGGAAAAAGCACCACTGAAACAACCTCACTGTTGTTTTATGACCGGTTGCAGTATCTAAATTAAGTAAGTTATTTGTGAATTTATTTTCATAAAACTAATGCTTGTTCTTTTTGCCATATTATGTTGATTATAATTGCAGCTTTAGTGAAGTGGACAGTAGATGATTGACAGATATATCTCACAATGACACAAACCTGGACCAACACACATTCTCTGCTTCTTTGTTTCTAAATAAATTTACTGAGCCAACATTATGAATCACGTTTAATTTAATATATGGAACACCTAAAATAGGATCCTCCATGTTTGTGACATGGCAAAACATGAATTTATACATCAAAATGTTTTTCTATTTTAACTTATTTTTTTGCTAAACACTAAGATGCTTTCTTGCTTTGGGTGAGGTCAGAATTTCTGGCATCATTTGAATGTCTAAAGAAATACATTCGTATGGTGTTTTTTAGTATGTGTATTTACAATGTAGCTGATTTTCCAAGAAAGAAGAAAATAAAGGCAGAATAAACATAAGGTGAAAACGGAAAGGCATCGCAAAAGCGTCTCCTTTTTGTGTGTCAAAGTTTCTTAGAGCGAGACCCTGTGGCCAAGGCTGCTCCTCAGGTGCTTTTTAGAAGAAACTTGCAGCGGTCTAATTTAACACTTATGTGTAAGACAATTTAAGAGTGTTTTTGTTCCTTCTTAAACTGTCCCAGTTGTAATTAAAGGCCCGCCTGCCGCTCCACAAATGTGAAATATTTTCATGGATCCTCCATAAAATCTGTAGCTGTGAGTAAAATTTTGTAGTGTCCGGAGTCCAGTTGAGTACAGGTTCTTCAATCTTAATGACTTTATATTGACTTTAGCTCTGTGTGTATATATAGCTGCGCTTTTATCCAGGAGGATTCATTCAAGCTAATATATTTCTCCCCAAACAAGGTCAGAGTGAAAGATAAATAAAGGACAAAGCAATACGAGGTAATAGCCTCTGGAGAGTCTGACCTCTCCCCTTGGTGAATTGTGGTGTGTGTGTGTGTATGTGTGTGTGTGTACATCTCTATGACCCCGCAACCAGCCCATAATCCCTCACTACAGGGGCTGGATTAGGACCCAGTATTATTAGCCAGCCCCTCCACCCCGACCTCCTCATACCCCAAAGGCCTCGCTCCTCTTCTGCCTGGATCGATGGCTGGCTCGGTCTGAAGTGGTGGCTCTGGTTATTAAACGTGGGACCAACCAAGCCCGTTGGACTGGCGGGATAATCCCATCACAAATTAAGTAGAGGGAAAATGTTCAGGGAGAAGGCGCATGGGAGAGAATCTTCATATTGTGACCTTCTAAACAGAACAAAGCACACAGTTCTTTATCTTGTGTTAAGTGAGGACTTTGTTTAAAGACCTCGCTAGATGGGGATATATTCTGCTCTTGTTAATGTTCATGCTGCCGTCTTTATCTGGTGCGTTTGATTTTATTATACTTCGTCAGATGTGAATGATTGAAGTACCGTACACGCATGGTATTAAATTATACGTATAAAACACTGTACTGTTGGGAACGGCAGGGGGTCGTATTGGGTCAATAGCAATTGTGCAACCAAATTACTATTCTAATGTATTATTATTATCAATCACTGACATAATTCACAAAATAAATAAATAACGGGGCACCACCTTAAGGAAACGCAGGAAAAATTCTTTTGAGGAGGGACGGCGGTGGGTGGAGTAACGAGGGAGATGGCGATGGAGAGCAAGGATGGTGGGAGTGTGACCGTTGAATCAAACCACGAGGTGGACGAGAATGCCAATCAGCGTAATGCCGACTACCAAACGCTAGGGACGAGCGAGTGCAAAATCATGTAATCAAAATCACAGATGCTATGGCAACGCTATCCGTTGCTATGGGGCTAAGGTGAAAACTAGGGGAGGGAAATACTTGAGTAACTACCGCCATGAGTAACTGGCGGACACGAGGGGATTCTCTAATCAATATAAATCAGTATGGTTGGACTTGTGTGCAGTTACGGAACCCCTAGCGTAATATTACATTACATTACGTCATTTAGCTGACACTTTTATCCAAAGCGACTTCCAATAAGTGCATTTCAACCATAAGGATACAATATACAATAATATCTTTGCCACTTTAAATCCTTTGCAGCTAAACACATTATTAGATCAACAGGCAATATGACGACATTTGCAGATACACACTCAAACATAGATCGCTGCCAAGTGATAGCAGACTTGTTGATCTCGGAGAGTCTCGGTTCGTCAAGCAAAATTAAGACTAAACTTTGGAAATTGGAGGAAAAGAAAAGCCACATTTTGTAGTGTCTGTGTGTTTTCGTACATGCTCTTTTTTATGGCCAGGAGTCGCCTAGATCCCAGTGGGGGTCGTCGTCATCGGTCCTGGATCAAACATGCGGGTCTCCACGATTCTGTGTTTTTCCTTTGTCTTCAGTGAAGAAAAACGTGGTGAGGTCTACCAGCATAATGGAGTGTCCAACAGTCCCCTGACAATGGAAGATGTAGTCTATTAGCATCTGGAAACAATCCCTCCGCTTAATCTAAAGCCGCTTAAATGTTTAAATGTCTAAATGTTTCCAAAAGTCCAGAAAGAGCTGAGTTTTGAGGTAGTCTGGGAAATAATTTGCTTTTAATCCACGTCAATTGTCTTTTATATCTTTATGTCCACATACACATACACACAACACACAAAGTGTTATTAAAAATGTTCTATTAAATAGCGTCATTTTGAGGTGATTTGAATTTTTTTGAACAACCAAGCAAGCGGCTGTTTTTTTTATTGCTGCTTTGGTGACGTTTGTTTCCTCTTTTTCCCCCCTAGTTGGCCCGTGACTCTATGGATCTCACTTGAGGCATCTCTCTGTATGCGCGTGTGTCATCTCTAAGCCTGTCATGTAGGATAACACTGGACGTTAATTATCCCCGCTGTCTGACGCGAACGTCATTACAGCCCTGAACTGGATGTGAACCAGCCGTTACCGAGATGGGGCAAAGTCTATTAAATGGCATTATTCAATCTTCAACCTAATTTAAGAGTAAACACACAGTGACTGGCCGTCTGGTTGCTAGCTGCTCTTCCTTTACTCAATTTCCAACCCCCTTTGAGGAATCCTACCAACAAGGGCCAGAATAAATGAAACACATTTGTAACCAGACTAATGCAGAATATATTAAAAGTTGCCGCTAGATTTTGCTGGCATGGTCTATTGCCTTGAGTGATTCGGTCAGGGGGGAGATCAAACTTTTGTGTGAGTGTTGTGAAAGCTACTTTGAAAGTGTGGTTTTACAAGATACCTGTTACTGTCTGAGGACTTGCAGAAATGACTCCCGCCTGAGGAGTTTTATTAACTCGAGTTGGTTTGAAAATAGGTTTTGCCAACTCCACTTTCTGGTTGCAAAGAAAATTCCTATAAGTTTCCAGATGTCATCATAGCATAAACATAACAAATCCCAGCGGAAGAAGAGGTGGGGGGGGGGCACACTGTGACAGCAGCTCTCTCCACCTCAGACAGGAATAACAGTGCAATTGTTTCTGGGAATTTTGGAAGTAATAGGTCGCAGAGTTCAAGCTAAAAATGACACCTTGAAGACCTCAGTAAGTTCAGCCAACAGGCAGGGAAAGAAATAAGACTCTCAGTGAGCCGATCTAGCAACCTTCTAGCATGGGGTTGTTGACAAAAAGGAATTGGAGGGTTAGATAGTGGGAAATAAATAGTATGAAATGAGGGGGGTTGGATGAATGGCTTGTCACGCGAGCAAATCACAATTCACCAAGTGGAGGAGGTCAAGAGAGGCCTTGGAAAGATTCCTGTTTGAGAAAATATCGTAAGCGAGGGTGTGTGTTTTCTCTCTGGAGAAGAAAGGCGAGGGACAAACACGTTGTTGATACCTTTATTTCGGGGATTCAGTCACATAATTATATTGCCTTCACTCCCGACTACGCTGCAGGCGGCAGCTACACACGATTACAGGCCCATTGAAGTCTCTCGGTCTTGTCACAGCATTAAATACGATCAAGTTGCGGAACAGCGTAAGCCCTGATTTGAATGCGTCGCTAAGACATGTGTGTGGTGTATCAGATGGAAGCTTAGCACCGGCATATGCTCACTGCCATGATCCGCCGATGGATGACAGGTGGTTACCCAACTATTTGCATAATCACGGGTGCCGCGCGCAGGCTTCTAGAGAGTCATAAACAAATCCATATGGCCTTTTGGGAAAATCCAGATGATTCATACCCCAGCTCACGGATACACAGGAAGTGTAACACATCAGCAGCATTTCTGAATGCTGCCGTTGGAGAGTGAAGAGTGGAGCAGACTTCTTCTTGTACTGGCAGCTAGGATCCGATTTGTGAACTTTACACCAAGTTCTACTTTCAGTTTGACCAGCGTTTCCTTGACCGTTTCTTCATGAGGTCCGGTGGCAGGGATTGGTTGGGAGACCCTGTTTCGATCCTGTATAATGTTCCAGAATCAGCTTCAGTCATTAAAGGATTGGGTACATCATTTTCTCTCATAAATGTGTATTGAATTTGTGTAATTTTCCACCACAAACTATACCTACACTGTACACTGTCACTAGATGTCACATGACCCAAACCAAGCCTCCCATTGTATTTTACAATGTTTCCCTTTGGGCTGAGAAGATCTCCTATGGAAATAAGTGTTTATTATCACCACTCCCATGTCCTAGCCGACATATGGTGAAGTCAAGGAGGCACTGCAGTGATCTGTGGTTACCAAGCAGAAGAAGCTTGCCACAGTGATAAGCTGATTATGTCAATAAAGCAGGTTTAATGTTGCGTTAACTCTCATTTTATCACTGTGTCCCCTGTCTGTTCACCCGGCCCCCTCCCCCACAGACATGCCTCTCCACGTCCGACGCAGTAGTGATCCCTCCCTGGCCGGCCTTCCTCCGGGCGAAGTCCTGGTCACTCCAGAGGAACCGTCCAGAAAGAACCCGATGCGCTGGTCTACAACTGTTGGCCTCCAAAAGCACAAATCCAAACCAAACACAAGCACCGGCAGCCTGGAACGGAAGGTAACGCATCAATCTAGTCTTAAAAGGGTTTGTAAGCTTGTCTTTTGATTGCTATACCTCAAGACTACTATTTACTAACGAGAATCGGGAAAAGTATTGAAAGGTAACATAAAGAAAAACATTGTTACGTTCATTCTGTGTCACACCACTGTGAAGATAGTTTCCCAGAGTGCCCCACATTTAACTTCTTAACATGGATGCCATCCACGTGGTATTGCCTTTTACGTCTTGCTGAGAGAGACGCGTTTCTGATGAAATGGGAAGGTTCAAAAATGGGATACGTTTGAGTGTTTGGAACGTGACACAGAGAGCCCCCATGTGATTAGTGTGTCTGAAAGCAGTGTCTGATAATCCCACTTAAAGACCGATGTCAGAAGCCTCCTGAGTAGAATGCCTCCCCAGCCAAAGGTGAAGAAAGGAGAAAGTGAAATGTCATTTTGTCATTGTGGCTTCTATTGTGGCCCATTTTACAGCGAGCAAATATTCAAATATTTGTTTGTCAGTTTGAGCCTGCATGCTCAAAAATAGTGAGAAAAAATAAAACAGCAACAAAACAGGAACACTACCCTGTCATAATTTAACTCACAGGGAATTGGAGAAAACGCGGCTGGCTAAAGTGTGTAAAGGAAACGAGCATATACTTACTCAGATATTATTACATTCATATATTTATATATGTATATATGGTCTGTTTTAAACTATATCTTTGCGATCAACAACAGATGTTGAATCGATTAGACATCATTAACGTTGATATATTTATGTCTTGGCTCAATAGAAGGAAGCCATATACAGCGATTAGCGTTACCCGAAGAGCATTTGGATGCGCGCCACACACTACACATACTATTGTCTCCCCATGGTCTAGGCTAGATTCTTTTATAGAATACAGCCAGTCTTGCTCTGTCCAATTCTCTGTGAGTTAAATTATGAAAGAGTAGGGCCATGTTCTGCTTAGTCTTCCTAATGCAAGCCAGCAGGAGTTCTCAGTCATCAGGTGGCACTGAAAACTCATCACGTCTCCCGATGGCTTCGCAAAACCTCGCGCTCCAACTTCCCCACGCTTAGCACAGTCCAATGGAGAGATTAGGTAGTAGATATGAGCTTTTGAGTCACTGCTGCCTCGCTGGTAACTTGCTTTTCCTCCCCATTTTATGATCTGCGTCGTAAAAGTTTCTGGAGAGTGGTCCTTTGTCGCACTGTGTTGCGTGTTGAGGCCCGAGGCCTCTATGGCTATCGGTGGCCGTCTCAGTGGAGCCCACATGTACGGAGTTTTACAGTCCTGTCTGCTTGGCTTCCTCAAACCCCGTCACGCCACATTCAACAGCACTAAAACACATGGCTTATTAGTGTGCAGGGGATCACATCTCGCCCCTGTTCTGTCCCTCTTTCTTTTCCTTGCATTGTTTGCAGCTATTTTTTCCCAGTCGTCAAATATAACTTGTTTTCATTTGCCTTTGTTCAACCTTTCATCTGCCTGTCATCCTCCCTTTCAATTGGCGACCTGCCATTTGGGAGATTTTCTTTTCTAACTTTAGTCCGTGTTCTTCTGTTGTGTGATGTCTCATTAAAGAGAGACAAACTTCTGTTTCTGCCTGTCTCGCTCTTTAACTGCCATTTCGTAACACATCAGACCTTTAATCATACTCATTCTGTTTGGCTGCCTCAGTGAATCGTTGCCTCCGCTGTGTTCTTTTATATTAATTTGTTTTCATCTTTATTCAAATAGCTTCAGCTACCGCGACCTTGAATTGTCGATATTTCAATGGCGAGGCTCGCATGTCTAGAGATTAATTTAGGGTTTTTTCTGTGCTCGTGGCCATTGTAATACACCTGCTGAAGTCTGTCAGTGTGACATTACCTTGGCAGTGTTATTTTGGAAGGTGTATAGGAAGAGCTTAGCTGTGACTCTCATTGTAAAAGGCCTCTAACCAATGGCTTATGTTTTGCGGTGGAGAAGGGGTTAGAGGTCAGGGTTTTAGGAGTGGTACCAGAATGAACAACATAGTACTGCTCAGGTTGCACTAAGCTATGCTAGCTGACATCCACCACAAGATGTCGGTCATCCCGGGGCTCTAGGTACCACCGACCCAGAAAACTCTGTTTAAACACAGACTACATCCGTGCTCTCGTCCTGTTCCTCCGTAGGGGAGAGGACCCCATGCCTATCGCAGTCTTCCTCGTGACACCAATGGCTGGACCTCTCAGTTCCAGAGAGAATTGACTCGATCGTCCTTGAGCGCCAATCACCCAATGGTGGACCAATGGTTGGACCGACAGGAACAGGTATGGAGCTGTGTGTGAGCATGACCTCATCCACATTAAATACTGCTTACACACATTCAATCGTGTTATGGTGTGTGTCAGAGCAATCTTTGGCCTCACGTTACCATGTGATAAAATGATTAAGAAGAGTTCAACGCGGTGAGAAAACCCTGGTATTCAGTTGGTACCTAAAAAAAAGAAGAGAAGAGATACAACTGGAGACACAGCTTATCTGCTTACAGGAATAGTTCCCACCCCCAACAGCGTTGTTGCCCTAATAACATATCCCACGGAGTGACAGTAACATATACCATTTGGCTGTTACATAAAACAAGGGCACCTCAATGGAGCAATAGTGGATTTAGTACTTCGACATGGCACCCAAAACAAAACGCACACACAGCGCATTGTGTCATAAAGCATCATTCCCCGACATGTTAGAGCCATCGTAAGCACAGTGGTGACAGACAACAGCAGGGCAGTTACATCTCCACAGACAGCTCTCTGCCCGAGCCAACCTCCAAACAGAAATGGTGACAACATCAGACGTCATACTCCTGTTCCATGTGGCTGTGCTTTTCATAAAGTAATATTGTGAGTCACTGCAGGCTTCTGTCCTCACTTCACACCTCCCCGCTCCATCGCCACTTGTGATTGCCTCACTCTGCGATAGGTCTCGCTACTCCGCAGCCTGTCAGAGGAGACGGAAAATGTTCCCCTTTAAAAGTTATTAAAAGTGACAGAGGCCCTCTGCTGGGAGAGCAGGAACGACCTTGGGAGGTGTCGGACACGCCAAGCTTGACGTGAAGAGGAGGTTTCTCAGCTTGCGTGTCATTCTCAGCCCGTCTTTTCTCCGCTACCTGCTCTGACCCATGTGGGAGGCGTTTAATCGATCTCGCCTTCGTGTAAAAGGAAAAGAAAAGAGCAAAGGAACCTTGGAAGTTGATCAGGGAAAGGCTGTGTGTCTATGAGGCAGCAATACCAACTGTTTTTAATTCTGGAGAGTCCTCTTAGAATAAATGTCTCTGGCTAGACAGTCTGTGAGTTGGGTCTGTTATGAAAAAGAAGCTTAGTGTACCATGTGTTTTGTAATAGGAAGTCTGGCCGTGCCACTTCTCACAGAGGAAAAACAAAAAAGAATCACTGTTGAGAAACTGGCAGCACAGATTGGATTTTGATGAGATTATAATTATAGAATATAGTTGTTTAAAACAGCTCACCTCTTTAAAAACATTAATAACGTATACGACGTTGCCAGATAAAAAACAGGAGGAAAGTCAAACAAATGTGTTTACATGGTGTATCTGTTAATTATCTAGTGGGTTTATGCTTCATTCATAGGATGACACAATCCATCAGTTTGATGAATATATTTAAAAGTGTAGCGTATCTTGATCATAACATTATACGTTTCATTAATTTCCCTAATTGGGAATGCTTGAGCTATGCTCCTCTCACCTAAAAGAAGACAGAAACTGTAAACCGTAGCTGCATATTTTTTTTACCCCAAATACCCTTTATATCCAAGATTGCTATGATGTTTCTGGGTTTATACATATGAATTTGACATATGAATTTAACATATGAATTATGAAAAAACTACCAAAATCAGTGTAGTGTGTAAACATGTGACAAATAAAAGCAGTAGGGCACCAGTGCGAGTTTAATCATCCAGCCGGTGCAATTTTCGTTGCTACCTGAGTCTTTGTAATCTGACAGCTGTGCGCCTTAAGATGATTCACAAAACACAAATCGGCTCGTTAGTGGTGACGCGGGGTCGGTTTGAAAGCGCTGCCGCGTTGCGCAGTTGTTTCTATCCTTTAAGACAATGTATCTCAGGCTTGATCGCCGCCTCTCCCTCCCACACGTAACTGTTTGATACTTTGTCTTCTTTGTCTGTCTGACGGAGGGGCAGCACGACAGCATCCCGCTGGAAGATAAAAATACATGCCGTGGGTTAATTAAAAACAATTGCGATCAGTGCTAAAGCGCTGCCGAAGATAATGAGGATACACACACACACACACACACACACACACACACACACAGACCCACGCACGGCTCCGTACACACCAGTTTTTTGGAAAACCTCACTAATTAGAAGTTGGAGTTTTTTCTCCTGTACTTGTTGTTTGGCTTTATGAGAAAATATTAAAGCATGAACAAAGACAACTGAGAAAGGGCATCGCACTAATTTCTTCCTGAAATATATTTCTTACTTTGTATATCGTTGGCGTATCGTTGTGTCACTAACTGAATCTCTACTTAACTCCATGCACACAGTCTCCCTCCCTGAGTCATACTGTCTATAAGTTTTGAAGCACTCATTTCCTTCATCTTCTCCTTTTAATGGCTCAAAGCAGCTCTGTTGTGCACCGGCACCATTTGCTTCCCTCTTAAAGTGCTTCGCTTCACCATTCATATTTAAGCAGCCCTTCGCCCTGCTATAAATTAGGAATATGAAGTCAGGTCAACTAAAAGCAACACACTCCTGTGCTTAAAATACCAAAGTGGTTAAATCAAATGTAGGAGCTGTGATTCTGTCTTCACCACGAGCGCCTGGATGGGATGAACTCAGTCAGTTTTGGGCTTCAGGAGTGCTGCTGTCAGCATTTCATCACACATTACATAAGTTGAATATAGATGGTGGCCCTGTTGTAGCTGATTGAATTAATCCCCCTTTAAACTTGGACTCTGTGATTGATCTTGATAACAGGGCCAATTTATGGAGTTAATAACAATTTTGGTGTCTCTTTATTATGTTGTGGTCGGTTTTAGTGTTTTTTGTGCACCTGATCACAGGGCTGTGTCACGGCTCTGGTTATACCTGGAAGGCACGCCTCACTTGTCTTACAGTATGTTTATCTAACCAGTCGATAAATTCCCTTTAGTGTCAAACAATTCCATCTGAGACTTTGGGAGCTTCAGCGCACACACACACACACACACACACACACACACACATACGCCCGGGAAATGTGGCATGAAGAAAAGCTTGCTCTATCCGCCCATATACGCCAAAGCCATATGAGCTATTCTTTATATAAACAGCTGACATTAACGTTGGTGTATTATCCCACTGATGAATGCTAATGGGCCCTCCCGCACAGCATCACACACACACACACACACACACACACACACACACACACACACACACACACTTATGCTTACACACATTCGGATCCGGCTGAGTGCCTCTCTACTAAATTTTTTTGCAGCCTTGATGAGGGACCGGAGCCCATTATCATGAGCTGTACCAGAGACAGGAAGGACACCGGCTGTCTGTCACAGAGGGATTTAACCCAATCACAGCTTTTGAAATAAAAACGACAAGTTCAAAAGTTAAGGCTTTTAGGCTTTTGTTGTTTGTTGAATTCCTGGTCCTGCTTTCAAAACCAGTTTCTAACAGTCATCCCCATTAAGAATTGAAAGATGGAGAGAAAGAGAAACTAACGCGTTGCATAACACAGTCAAAAAACAGCTCTGAGTGGAAACATCTCAGATAAAACATCTTTGAGCATCTTTGATCGAGCCTCCAACTGTGATGAGCGCCTCCCTGTCTTTGTTGTCGAAATGAGCCACCTCGTCTGGTGAGTTTTAAAGGAATCTAAAGTCAAGCCAACATGTTAAAAGGAGATGATTTGTTCAACTTCAAGCCTGAATAAGAGGAGTGGGAACACAGCTTTTATTTCACAAACAAACACAGATTGATTACCTTCAAACTGATTCACAGTTGTTTGACAATGCAGCTATATTTCTGCACATTTAAAGAGTATAACCAACAATCAAGCACGTGAAATTATGACTGTAAATCAAGTGTTTGTTCCGTGTGTACAATTTGTAGAATTTGTTGAAGGAATAATACCCGTATTCGTCAACCAGTGACATTTCTCTCACTGTTGCAGCAGCCATTATAGGGATCAAGTCTGGGGAAGTTTTTAGCTTGACTTACAATGAATACAGTTGCAAAGAAATTTGAATGTGCTCTGAAGTGGGGGAACAACAAAAAACAATGTTACTTTAAAAACCCTTCAGTGGTTCAGTTCTGCACGGAAGTTATTTTTTAATTACCTGGGCGGTAGTTGCTGTGTGCACTTTATGTATTCTTCTGACCATCTTGCTGGCAAAGCCCACACTGTCTGCACACCCTGAGGCGAGCCGCCGGCAAAGGGCAGCTGAGCATGGAACGAAAACACCATAACCTCCAAACCCTGGCCGCCTGAGTCCATCTCTGTCCGTCAGAGTGACCGGTGGACATGGGGGGCTATCTGGTGGCTCCAGTGTTTGCAGTGTGAGTACATTAGCTTCAGACAAATCAGGGCTTATGTTTGATAAGGAGCAGGTCTGGGGTTTGATTTTGTGAAGAAAAACAGCAGTCCATATTCCACTGGTGGCACACTGTTAAAATGTCCTGGAAGAGGACACCACATCCAGGATCTGCCTCTTAATTCTCCCTGAAACTCACACACACCACCTTGATATACTTGCTTTAACCCTCTCACAGCAAGTTTTAGTTCATGACAGTTATTGTACTTAGTGTTTGGTTGTACTCTGCTCCACAAAGTGTCACTTCTGGTTGCCAAGACGGCGACGGACAGAAACACCCAAGATGGCACACTGCCCGAGTGACAAACTATATAACTTGTCGTATACAGTCTATAGGTGGAGCCTAATTCACTCGTCTCTGAGTGTAAATGGCAGCTCACCAGCGCTGCTGTGGCTCAAGCTGGGACCTGAATGAGAACAATGCATCCGTGAGCATCACACTGGCCTTTCCTCTCCTAATTAGTCATTGCCGCTGAATCCCTTCAGGAACTTCATGACCCCTGACAGACCAGAGCCGAGGCCCGCACGGCTCTTTCAGCCTCATTTATTTCTGGTCTCCCCCTCCTTTAACCTCTAGGTGGGCTTGGACAGTTAGCTTTAGCTTTGAATTGACTTGAGGTAAGTGAAGTGAAGTAAATGTTTGAGCCCCCAGCTGTGTGTGGAAGCAACTACATAAGGTACACATGTAGTGT